TGTGGTTAGTTATCTATCACAAAACAACAATTAAACTTTTTTCAGTGTTTCTTTTTTAAACTAAGCCAAAAAATATATATATTTTTCTCCCTGCAGGAGCACCTCTCTGTTTTTAACTGGCATTGAGTTGGCTCTGATTGATTGATGCTAATCCAATGTTCAACATGGCAAAATGCTGCCCAGTTCTGTACCATTCGAGAGCGGTTGTGTATCACGCCATTTTGATCCATAGGATTTTCTTTAGCTGATTTTTCAGAAGTAAGTTACCAGGTCTTTCTTTCTAATCCTTCTTAATTTGGATGCTCTACTGAAAGCTGCTTATCATCATAAAGATCCACTGTCATCAAGTCAATTCTGACTCCTAGCAACCAGGAATGGGGCTTCGGAGGTTTTACATTTTTACGGAAGCAGAAGACCCACCTTTCTCCCGAGGAGCAGCTGGTGGTTTTGAACTGCCCAATTTGCTTGTTAGCAGCCCAATGCTTACTTGGGATTGCCACATCAGACATCCACACACAAACCACTACTGATAGAAGAATGGTGACAGTGCACACGGTGCATTGGCCAGAATCAAACCCAAGTCTCCTCCATAGAAAGTGAGCATTCCATCACTGAACCATCAAGGTAATGTATCTTCTTCTCCTTAATGCGGGAAAACCTTCATCAAACCACCCCTCCAGTCAATGGCAATTCCTAAGAATTCTCTTTTCCCCAGTCTTTCATGAGGAGGCACTGAGATCCTTCCCCCCCCACCCCCCACCCCCCCGAGTCCTTTTCACACAGAACAAGTAGCGGAGTTCAGTGAAATGTTTGTATATCATTTGGACTGAAACAGATTCAGCCTGGTTAGTTAAGTAAGTTTTAAATTGACTATGGGTAAATTTTGCTATTGTGAATATCCAGGATATCTATTGGAACTTATACCTGAATCCTCCCATAAACACATTACTTGTAAGCTGCCTGAATTTTCCACAATTGCATTATTGAAATTGGTTAATACTTGATATCCTAGAGAAGCCCATTTGGATATCAAATATTAACCAATTTCAAGTTATCTAGCCATACACAGAGCCCCAGTGGCATAGCAAGTTGAGCATTGGACTGCTAAAAGAAAGGCTGCTGGTTTGAATCCACCAGCTGCTCCATAGGAAAAATTGAGGCAGTCTGCTTCTGTGAAGATTTACAGCCCCAGAAACCCTATACTCTGTCCTATTAAGGTCACTACATCAGAATCAACTTAATGACAAAGGGTTTTTATTGGGAGCCATCATCTTCCTTTCTTCAGTCTTGAAAATAAAATACTTATCATACACCCCAAATCTGGTGGAAGGAATTAGTCTTTCTGCATGGTCAAGTGAATATAGGCACAGGGGAAAGAAAGATGAATTTCAATAATAATCCCAGTGGTTTTTATGATACGCTGATATGCTGTTTTATACAAATACGACATTGTGAATGAACTGTTTCCTGAGCATGAGACTAGGTTAGTAAAGGATATGACTTCATTTCAATGACATATCACTACTTCCAAAACTCTTGATTCTTAAAAATGAAATTGGAGTGAGTTACAATTAGAATTGCTCCTAAAGGGAATAAAAAAGAGATTGAATATATTTTTCACTTTCGGAGGTCTTGAAGCATAATGACTTAGTGTTACAGGTAAATTTTACAATTGAGGTGGTAGCTTTTAAAATGATTTCTAAGTCAGTGCCATTCAATGACTCAGTTTCCTTATTTGTATACCAGCAACTAGGTGCCTGACAAAGAATATCAGAGATATCTAATAAAAGTTTCATAACAATGACTGATTTTATGGAAATGGATGGTCAAGTCTTTCTGCTGGGGCATCTCTGGGTATACTCAACCAGCCACATCTGTCAATTAGCAAACATTTAACAATTTTACCACTCATTCACTCAAAGGACTACTTTTCACATATATCTGTGATTTCATTATCCTACTTCTTAATTACCTGCTATCCCATTGTGGGATAGGACAATAGGGGGAAAAACTATTTTGCACATTAAGCATGCATAAATGCCAAGGGCAAGTAAAAATTAATGCTAACTGGGATGGTTAAGGTTATGTGTTAACTTGAGTGGATCATGGTTCTAAATGGCTTAGTAATTATATAATAATGTAATCGGGCAGTTATACAATGATGTAGTCATCTTCTATGTGGTGAGTGGATGTGGTCACCCTCCAACTTGATATAAGAACCTGGCCTTTTGAAGCTAACTATGCCAATAGGTGATAAGTGGTTATATTAATGTGATCCTATATTAACAGGAGAGTATCCAAAATTTTAGTCTAGGTAGTTTTTGACTGCTAACCAAAATCTCAAGGAGCCCTGGTATCATAGTAATCCCATGTGTTGAGTTACTAATTGCTAGGTCAGCAGTTCAGACCCACCAGTTGCTCCCAGGGACAATGATGAGGCTGTCTGCTACCATAAAGATTTAGTCTCAGAAACCCTATATAGAATCAACTCAATAGCAGTGGAAACTAACAGGTCAGTGATTCAAACTCACCAGTAGTGGCTCTGTGGGAGAAAGATGCAGCAATCTCTTTCCATACAGATTTGCCTCACTGCTATTGAGTCGATTCAGACTAATAACAACCCTATAGCAGAGTAGAATTGCCCCAAGAGTTTCAAAGGTTGCATTTTTTATAGGAGGCCCTGGTGGCAATGGAGTTATTTGCTCAGCTGCTAATGGCAAGGTAGACAATTTAAACTCATCCACTGACAACCTGTTTCTGTAAAGATTTACAACCTTGGAAACACCACATGGCAGTCCTTTGTCCTATAGGGTCGCTATGATTCAGAATCAGCAAGGGCACACAACAAATAAGCCCCAAAAAAGTCTCACTAGCAAAACTGTGAGTATTCCAGATAAAGTCTTTCTTAGAAGGCCTCAGAAGAACACGTTACTAATTCGGTGATAATACAAAAGACTGGGCCTGAAACAACCAAAAAACAGAAAACAGACAGTTAAAAAAAACTAACCAACTCTTTTTGTTTGGTCAAATTGCTTGCCTTACAACGTCCTCCTAGGCTTATTCTTTATTAACTCTGGCCCATTGGCATGCAAAATCATGTAAAGCTCAAAACATACGCTTGAGCGCAAACTCTGGGATTCTTTGTTCTACTCTATCAAGCCATATTTAACACCGAACAGTGAAGCTAATAGTTAGGAACTGAAAGTGATACGATCTCATGAGTATCTAGTTACCTTGTCCAAGCAAGTAAAACATAAAAGATAAAACAGGACAAATGGCCAAAGGGAAAGGAAGAACATAATCAAGGTGTTATTACTAACAGGCATAGATAAGTGCTTTCTCATGAGAGCATGCTTAACAGTTTGGCTGGATGTACCAAAAACTATCTGTGGAAACCAACAGTTGACATTTTTTTAAATGAAACTTATAGTTGTTGATTAAACCACAGTTTTGTACTGGGTCCAAAAAAAAAAGTGGGGGATGGTAGAGATGAGATGCTTATTCTTTTATGGAAAACAGACAAGATCTCAAATTCACAACATTGGAATTCTTAAGTACATTACGCTTTGGCTGAACTCTTATAAACTTTTCTAAGTTTCATGATTGTGAGATGGAAGGTCTACGAGAAAAAAGGATATACTCACTAAAGCATCCACCAGCAAAAAAAAACAACCTGTGACTTGATTTCTTCACTTGTAAATACTAGAGTAACCAGCCACGTTGTAATGTAAGCAAGTTAGAAATCTGTCTCTCGTTAGGATGGAATTAATAGGACGTAAATTTTTTCTTGTCATTTTCATCTAATCCACGGTCTCCCTTCCCACAAAACGGAATGCTGTATTATTTCCTGTAACGATAACACTTTGACCGCTGTTTTCCAAACCAGAGGCAAAGGAAAGAAGTATAACAGACACACACCAAATGGACAAATGCCCTAAGACACAGTTTTAGTTTAAGGCCACCATCCCCTCTCTTATAAGAGTCGCCCGCTAAGTCAAAACCAGAAGTGCAACATGTGGCTTATGCTTCCGATCTAGAGTTCAACTAGAAGTCCCATCTTTGGCTATAAGGAGTATCTGTTGACTTCGCGCAGGAAAACCCTTTCCTCTCAGAGCAAGTCGAATTCAAGTTTACAGAAAGAGGAACCGTTTTACTGAAGAGTTGAGAAAACTCCAGTATTTCCCAATCTACTACCAGGCCCCATAGATTTCATTCCTCTTCACATTAGTCCGGATGCAGGAAATGGACTGGTTCGAACTATGAGGACGTTGAATGCTGCACAGCCTGCCTTCTGCTTGTGCGAGTTCTTAATCAACTAAGTGGCCCTACTGAAGGACTATGCCTCTTACACACATGACAGTTGGTGGTACCTCCCCAAGCTTCCAAATCCCACGCTCCCTCCACCCTTGCAAGGAGCACAGAAATGCTTCCTGAGAGAGCACATGGAGAGGGCAGGGGGAGGGGGAACGCATGTAGGCGCCTCTTCCTCAGATTTCTCGTGAAGTAGAAAGACTGCGGGCCGACGTTACGTTGTTCTCAATTCGCAGAGGTGTGTGTGAGTGGGCTCCCCGGGATTTGAACTGAAAACACTAGAGCCTTCCCAGCTCTAGACCCTAAGGCTTAGGTGGCAAACCAGCAACTGACCCGAGGTGGGATGCGAATGGAAATCGCCGCAAAGGAGGTTCGTGCCCACAAGTGAAGACAAACAACAGAGTGTACTCTTGGGGCATCCTTAAGTTGGGGTGGGGCCTTTCTCCTTCCCACCCTGCCGCCCGGACTGACCAGAGCGGAGAACGGGTAAGTGGAGACGGGGGTGCTCTTCCGCCCCCGCGCCGGCTCCGCGCCTCCGCCTGGCCGCTCCTTCAGCGGCTCCCGGAGTTGCTCAGCGAGCTCGCAGTCGCCCTTGGAAGGCGGCCCCCGGGTCTCCCAGTGCTCAGCGGCCGGGGGATCCCGGGGCTCTCCCAGTCCCCACGGCCGGCGGGGGCTGCCGGAACACTCACCAATTTGGGTTTGTTTTTCGTTTCGTCTTCGTTGGCGGCCCGGTTCCCAGCGTTCCGCTTGTTGCTCCGACCCCCACCTGGTTCCTCGCTGCCGCCTCCGGCGCCGGCCGCCGCCGCCCCGAACTGCTCCATCGTTCCCCGGCCCTGTCACCTGTGCCCTGTCAACCTATGGAGTCCTGAACCGAGGCAGCTCTGTGGGAGAGTTACAGATTTACAGGCCCCTGGGACTTCCCGGCTCCAAGACACCCCAGACGTAACACACCGTTGCCACTACTCAGTGCTGGGACAAGCCCTGCCCTCAGCAGCTGCAATTACCACGGTCGCCTCCGCCCTTTGGGGCGGTGTTTAGGATAGAGAGAAAGTAGGTGCCTATCTCTTTAAGAGGGCCTCAACACACGTGATTCATCAAAGTGCCCGCAGTCAGGCGCCCGGGCGCTGAAAGCTGCTTCCTACTCCTGGTGCCATTGGCCCCAGCTACTGAGCATGCCCAGCACAGCCTGGAGCTTAGCAAGAGGACTTTAAGCGGCTGCTGAGCACTGATGTCACTTTCCAGTGGCCTAGCGTCAAATGGGAGGAGGTCAAGCCCATTTTCCGGGTGGGGAAACTGAGTCCTGGGACTCTGCATATGTGGGACTCTCTGTGGCACTCCCATAGTATTAGCTTCTGTGGGCTGAGGGCCAAGGCACCTTCCCTCCCATTGGCCTTGCTGCGGGTGTGGTCTTGTTATGCTCCTTGGGAGTTTGAGTGGCTAGGCAACTGGCCACCCATAGGAAACCCACGGGAAGCTCTGATTAATTGCCTAGAGGAAACCTGTCCAGGCCAAAGCGGAAATAGGGGCATGGTGCATTACGTGTTGAGCTGCTAACTGAAAGGTCAATACTTCGAACCCAAGGGCCACTCAGTTGAGAACCATGAGACTTCTGCAAAGATTTACAGCCTGGGAAATTTAGGGAGCAATTCCAAATTATGTGGCAGAATTGATTGGACGGCAGTGTGTTTGTTTGCTTGTTTTGATTTCCTCTTGTCATGTTTGCGTTGAGCCTAAAGAAATACAAACTAAATCCACCACCATCAGTAGATTGCTGCTCATCTCCCCCTCCCCATCCCACTCTGTCATCCAATCAATCCCACTCAGACAGCCTCCTCTTTCTCCTGCAGAGCAGCTGGTAAGTTCCAACTGACAGTTAATTTACATAGTCCTTTATTCCTATGCTGCCACATGGTAGAAGAAGCAGGCACCCATTAGGCCCATTAGCCCAAACCCCTCTATAAAGTTAATAATTAAACTGAATGATATTTGCTGCTTTCTGAACTCAATAGGTTTAGTTTTGTGAGGAGTGGTTCAGATAATGTGTGTGGACTTTTTGTTTAAAAATGTAAGTCCCCCCCAAAAAATGTAAATCCCTCAAAAATGACAGGTGTATTGTTTGTTTGGTTTTTCCTGTAACTTTAGCAGGGCACTGGATGTATTATTGTTTGCCATTAGTCCTTAAATGGTACTTGACAGGCAATTTATCCCTTCGTCATTAACCAAAAAGAGCCCTGGTGATGTAGTAACTCGTTGGACTGTGATCCCCATGGTTGGCAATTCCTAACCACCAGCAGTGCCACCTGAGAAAGAGTTGGCTTTCTGCTCTGGTAAACAGTCTGAGAAACCCATAGGGGGTCGCATTGCCTCAATGGCAGTGAGTTTGTTTTTTCTTTAAACCAAACCAAAACCGCTGGCATAGAGTGGATTCTGACTCATAAAGGAAAACCAAACTCACTGCAAGTGAGTAGATGTTGACTCGCGGCGACCCTATAGGACAGAGCAAACTGCCCCTGTGGGTTTCCAAGACTGTAAATCTTTGTGGGGGTAGAAATACCCACCTTTATCCCACAAAGCAGCTAGGGTTTCAAACTCCTGCCCTTGCAGTTAGCAGCCCATCGGGTAAACCATGGCTCCTCATTAGGGCTCAGAGCCCCCCTAGATAGGGTTTCTGTGACTACCAGCAGATAGCCTCATCATTTTCCCAAAGAGTAACTGGTGAGTTTCAACTTTGGAGCTTGTGGTGAGCAGCCACCAGGACTCTGAGTTACATCTTGAGAACATTAGAGGGGCAGGGTAGTATTTGAATTCACCACCACCTAAGAATAAGAGTACATTTTGCTAGAGAAGATAGCTGGAATATGAACATTGGTAGATTTGAAATCTACCAACATATCTATATGCCTATGCCAGTATATTAGTCCGGGTAGACTAGAGAAACAAATCCATAGACACTCATATGTGTATAACAAAGAGTTTTATATACAAGAGCAATTTCATATTGAGAAAACATCCCAACCCAATTCAAATCAAGTCCATAAGTCTGATATTAGGCCATATGTCCAGGCTCATGAAACACATGCAATGACGCTGAATGCAGGAAGATCACAGGCCAGTGGGTGGAAAGTCTTGTGGATCCAGTGGTGGTAGAAGCATGTCAGAACTGGCATGGGTCTCCACGTGGCTCCTTTAGCTCCAGAGCTCTGGCTACATCAGCATAGCTCCATGAGGTTCATCTTCAGTAATGTCTTACAGATAGTGAGTGTGTGCCCTGCCTCCAGTGAGCTATTGATCTCTTTAGTGAAGAGATCAAGCTGCGACTAGATTTCCTGGCTAAACTCCACCACTTCACTCGTAATAGTCTCAAATTAACAACAGATTATGTAACTACCACAGCCCACCCCTTGTCAATTTGACACTTTCACACAACTATTTGGCAATATATAATGTTCAAACAACAATAATAAAAAAATCTGTACCTAAAAGGATAAAACTAAAATGCATACAATTCAATGTGTGCCAACCTCATTTAAACATAAAATTCTATAAGTGAACAAAACAGAAATATATGTGAACACCTCCACCATAATCCTATAAACATATTCCTAGGAATATAATCTCCCACCTATTAAAGTTTGTAAATCAGTCACTTCATGCCTTTATTTCCCCCCCCCCCCATTTTGGGTATCCAATTTCTATACTGCCCACTTACATCAACCCAGTGCTCTGAAGAGATACTCATATTCTTGATGTGAAGAATCTTCATCACAGTTGGAACCTTGTGAAGTCTGCATCCATAGCAAAGTCAAATGAGGACAGGCCATCCATAAAGTCGTAACAATATGTACAAGTTCACAGCCTCAAATATCTTCTCCATATGGTCGGGTTCTGGTCAACTCTATGTGGGCTACTTCATTTAGCCTCACCAGGGTGCCTTGCCTCACCATTGGCTGCCTTGCCTTTAGACCATGTGCCCCATCACAAATTCTCAACAATTCTAGCCCCCTTAGGCTAGGTCATGAACTTCAGACCAGTTAACCTGATCTCGTCTTCTTGTCTAGTCCCTGTGAACCAGGTCCACGGGTGTCAGTGGCCACACTCAACCAGTCTCTGTATTGCTGCGTGTCTCCCACTTCCACTCAACAAGTGGATGCAGATGGTCACCTAACAAGCATTTCAGTCTGTCCATAGGCTTCCTTTAATGTTCAGTCCTAGAGAGGAATTTTTCTTAATGGTTCCAGATTTTTTTCCAGGTTCTGACAAAAACCACTAGTTCAAAATTCAAAAATCCAAAGAGTTCCTTTTTTTTTTCAATCTGTCAACAGCCCCATAGATAAATCTCTTCACTTTTGAATGTCCTGAGCACTCAAGACACTGGGTTGGGCTTATCTTTCCAAATCTTCTTAGCAGGAATGTCCTAAACCCATTTAATGATCCAATTTTAATGGCTAAAGACAAGTGGGTTTACAAGCTCTCTATTTTCATACTTCCTAATAATCATTTATACCAACAATAATAAGCTGAAGAAATCAGTATAAACCAAGTAGAATCAGATTCTTAAAACTCAATTCTTAAAACAGTCAAGTTCAATCATTATTTAGCTTATCTAAATCATTATCTAAACTATTTCATTTATGCAAAATATTGCCTTATGCCTCTACTGAATCAAGCCCAGGGTAGGCCTTCTGTCAGCCATTTTGACCTGTCAGCCATTTTCATGAAGCAGCTCTGAGAAATTCAAGAGCAGTTGTATATTGAGAAAACATCCCAGCCCAGTCCAGATCAAGTCCATAATTCTATTAGCCCATATGTCCAATACCAATCTATAAATTCCTCTTCAGACTCATGAAACATGTAATGATGCCAAATGCAGGAAGATCACAGGCCACTGGGTTGAAAGTCTTATGGATCCTATGGCACTAGAAGCATCTCAGCACGTGTCTTCTCCAGCTCCAGGGCTCTGGCTGCATCAGCGTAGCTCCATCAAGCTTGATGTCAGTAATGTCTTGCAGGGAGTGAGTTTATGTGCTGCCTCCAGTGAGCTACTCATCTCCTTATCCCTCCAAGCAAGATCATTAAGCTGTGACCTGATTTACAAGCTAAATTCTACCCCTTGATAGTCTTGATAGTCTCAAATTGACAACAGCTTATTTAACTACCACAGCCAAGTTACTCAGATATCTTCAGGCTATGACTCTTTTCAACCTCCTCCCCTTCAACCATAACTATCCTCAGCTAAGTCTTTAAAAAAGGTCATACCGAATCTAATTTATATCTGAATATATTTATTGAGAGTGCATTCAAATGAATGTAACCATGATATAAATATGATGAGGCAATTAAATTGAACAATAGGATGAAGAGTAAATATATGAAACCAATTTTAATCCCAGCTTTGTCACTGTCATTAAATTTCTTTTTAATTATACAGATTTGATGACGTTAATCTGATAGTGGTAAACTACTACTCGGGGACAGCACAGGAGAGGGTATGAATGCTGCCAGACAGAATGCACAAAGAACTTCGAGGTAAATCTTGCTTTGGTGAAGTTCCCATTTGATTTAAAATGTTGTGAATATTTTGAATTCAACCCCTCTACACATAACACACACACCACAATTTAAATTAGTTCCCAAGAAATTACTTAAATGTCCCCCTTCCTAGAAAATGGGATAAGTCGATGCTGAGGCTGCAGAAAGACATAACCCATTTACTGGGTGCTTTCATGTAATTCTGGTTTGAGCGATGTGGCTGTAGGCCATAGCTGAGAATCCTCCAAGCTCAAACATTGCTCAATAGACTCCTCAGAAAACATTTATTGAACTAGAGTATACCAGGTGCTATACTCAGCATTGTGGGTTAGAAGGATGGTGATTGCACAATTTCTATCCTTTAAAACAGAGGTGGGGAATGTTTTTTTCCAC